GGGGGGGGGGGGGGGACACTAAGAAGGGCCAGCAAAACTGTAATATATAAATATATGTAAAAGAATCAGAAAGAAAAATTAAGCAAGAAATAAAAAAGCAGTCTAATTGTGTAATTTGGGTGGTTTTTTATTTCTGTGTTAATATTTCTTTCTTAACAAATATATTAATTTCTTCTGAAAATAATAAACAATGTACATGCTTCTGGAATGTATCTATGTTTCTGCAATGCAAATGCCTAGAAAGGATTTCTTCACACCAACTTTTGAGTGCTTATTGCGGCTCAATCATTCGGAATATCCACGTAATTTATTACACAAAATATGCTTAAAACTGTGTGAAGAGCTTATTTGAGACGTTTCCTTCCCAAACACCCCTGTATATACAAATATTCTTATAATTATTATTAGTATGAGAAATATTATGGACTGTCCAATACATTCAAAGCACAATCTCACTGTCAGTCCCCCACCATGCACCACACACTTTTAAACAGATGCTTCTGTTGGTGTAGATATTACATGTTCAACTTCGCAGAGGATGTGCACTTTGATCAATGATCTTATGGCTAATCAGGGAAGTTATATTGACACTTTTGCTGATTCCATTACAAGTTCATGTAATACAGCCTGTCAATTTAATTAATATTTACAAATTGTTTTTGTAAGAGTCTTCGCCAGGTTTCTTTGATTTTCCAGATAAAAAGTGTCCAGTTTCCCTTTGTGGAAAATGCCTGAAAAAGACATCTTCAATTCATAAGGAGACTTCTATTAGTTTAACAGGTGGTTGACTTTCACCAGGCCTGATAAGAAAAGCAATGGATGAAATAAAATATTTTAATTACAAAAGTTTACAATCCAAATCATTCTAGTTGATTAGAGCCAAGTATCCTTAATATCTTCAAAAAACAGAAATCCAAATATTAAACAAATATAAATAAAACAAAGTTCATTACAGCAACTATTACCTAATTTATAACCAATTTTTGAAGTTGGCAGGTGAATTTGATTGTCATTGAATATTTTATTAGTGCATTTATACAGCTTTTAAACTCTTTTAAAAGACCTGGGTACTACAAAGAGAAAGGCAGAAGTTCAGATACTTGAAAACAACATTATTAAAATCCAAATTTATGTACTCTCAAATCTGATCACCAAGCGCAAACAATGATAAAAATAATTGAAACAGAATAATTTTTTCTTGTGCAGGACTTAAAGCTAAAATGAAGTTTTTGTACGAAATCACTTTATGAAAATTTCTGCGATACTGATATTTTTATCTCTTAAAACTGAGATACGTGAATGATATCTTCATGTTTAAAGTTAACAAGATAAATAGGGATGTAAGGGTTTATTTACTTCCTACAATACTAATTATATTAAGAATCCTTTTACACTGAATGAAACTGAATGCAGAACTGGACAGTATTATGACTTGTGATTCAACAGTTCCTCTCCTCAATAGAATGATGAATTATTGTCATGATCTAAAAATGAGTTTGAATGCTTTTAAAATGGATATTTGTAAAATTCTCAGATTCAATTGATTCGGTATGATTTATTATTTTACTGTGCAAGTGTGTTTACTATGGTGGCCTTAGAATAACATTTTCTACAAACTAGTGAAAACTTTCCCACATAACAAAAAATAGTAGAGAAAATTCATTTTCCCATTTCTTTTTCAATACAAAACCATACTGCAAATGAAGTCATGAAATTTCCTGAAAAACAGGAGTATTTAGCTTGTCACATTTTTAAAATTAAACAAACCTTTGTCAATGAAAAAGGTTTTTATTTGATTCTGAGGTAGAAGTTAAAGTTTAATCTAAGTCTTAAATTGATATATTGAGTAATATTTATAATTAATTTAATTATAATTTATAATATATATGAGTTAATTAAAATCAAAATAAATTGACATTCTTCTACGAAAATACAGTAAATTGAGAAGTATTAAAAATGGTCATTATTTTCATTTTTTATTAGATCAATTGAGCTTTTCAACAGTTTTTCTATATCATGTTACTGGAATTCTGTTAATTATTATGTAATAGATATTTAACATATTTTTTAAATGAATTTCAAAACTTAGTCACAGTTGTAGCATTCTTGATAAAAAAAAAAAACACTGAAAAGAATTCACCCCTTGTTTTTTCATTGTTCAAAATAATTTTCACTTGTTTGTAGACAAAACATTTAAGGTCATCCTAAAGTGAGCGTGTTTTATTATCTTGTATGGCATATGTATTGTCTGCCTTCACAGTTAACTGCAAATATTGTGTTACAACTTTGATCGTTGGAATCATTTAATAGGATAAGAAAAAAGAAGTCTGCAAACACAACTCTCTTCTAACAAGCATCCCACCAAAAGTTTGTAGGTGACATGTATGCACTGCAGTCGGATTTCATCAGGTACAAGCACTCGGCCAGAAAAACAGATTTTTTCTTGATTCATGGCCGAGTACGGCAAATTGAAACCCTACAATTTAACACGCTGTTTCTTCCATGGACTGTCTTGAGCAGGGTTGGGCAAAATATCAAGTAACAGGGCATGACTAACATAATAGTTAGTTAGGTAAGATTTTATTCCAAAAAATTCTTAAGTTGAATAATATATTAACACAATTTCTGAATAATTTAAGTTTGAAATTTAAATGATGATTAAAAAAAAATTCCTTCATTAAATTCCAACTTCTCTGGCTATTCTAGGTTCACTTACACACTCTAGCAATCACAACAATTCTCAATGAAAATACCAAACAAAGGGACTAAATTAAGTTATTTGAGAAGAACCTAACAATAAAACTGATCCACAGTTTGTCTAGATCATCATCTCTCTCTTTGTATAAGAATACATACCTGTAATGAAAAACTGTTTTTTAAAGCAGTTATTTACAATTTCTCTTGCTACAAATTTTTCCACATAGTACATAGATAAGATAACTTTCATATAATGACCCCGCAATTGCAGATTATTAAATAGAGAACAGTGAGAGTGGTCCCTCTTTCTCTTTAGATTCATTTAGAGGGTGCTTCTAGAGGATTTGCTTAAAACCTGCACGATTGCAAAGGAGCAAACTTACCAAACGGTATAAAAAAAGCTGTTAAAATCTACTTATGAAAAATAAATGTACAAAGTTCAATTTGTTAATACCATCTATCATTATACCGGCGTTTAACAAGATTATTTACTTTTAAAGACCTAGAGTTTTAGAATAGGTTTAGAATGCTTCGTGCAGTTGCTCATACAGAAATAAAAATACTTTATATTTACTTGGCTGTCTAGACGTCATAGCCTAGAAAAGAGATGTCCACGTTTCAGTCAAAATGCTGCAATCTTCTTCAGGACAAAATGCATTTCACCCTGAAGAAGATTGTAGCATGATGACTGAAACATTAGCATCCATGCCTAGGACTTTGCATTTTCTAGTCTCCCAAATTGATACCGACTCTGGCTGTGAAAGCCTATACTTTCATCAAAAAACTTTGATCTACACCACATAAAATTTGGTTAAAAAAATTTAAGTTGTTAAGATAATATCACGGAGAGGTAGTAGAGGGGTTTCCTTTCTTACCTACCTCTTATTACTATAAACTAGGGGCAACATTATGATAGACCTCATTTTGCACTTCCAAACCTAAGATGTTCATATTTCTTCAAAATTCAAATATTACAACTTAAATTCTGTAAAATCAAGCTAATTCGCCTTTTTCTGTAGCTCACAAAAATTACAAATGAGGGTTATCTCTATGTTTCGTACCATGCAAACATATCAAACAACAATATTGCAACCTCCTGAATGTGATATAATTTTAGTTATAATGAGAGTTATATAGTAATACATTTAAACAAATTGTGTGCGATAAATAGAAGCTACTTAAAATTCAGATGTCTACACAAAAAATATTTACTATCGATACAGTAATTCTAGTTCTTCACTTCAGTATACTTGAAAGTAACACAGGTCTTCTCTAATCATAACACAAAATTCGTACAAAAACAGGCACTTATCGTTACAACAAATGTAATGACTGATGGATAAGAGCTAATGATTATTTATATAATTTATATGATAAAAAGGTGCCAAATATCAATTTAAGTTCCTTTTTTTACCTCATCAAAACCATTGTCTTCGCCTTGACCATCATCTTTCGCTTCTTCTTTGATATGAGAAAACATCACTTGTGACGGTTGTTCATAAGCCTGAAAAAGAACAAAGCTTTCGATATATCTACGATTCCACTTTTCCGCACTTTTTTAAGTTTTATGGAGTCACAAGAACTGTTTCACAAAGTCTTTCAAATATAATTACCATGCTTTATTCTTTGGAAACGTAACTACACGGCGAAAACGCTCATACCAAATAATCTGACTACGTTTCAGAGGCATCTCCAACTTCCGATGGTCGATGTCAACTGTCAACTCACCTCTTCTTGTGTTTTCACGACGTTTTCTATTCCTATCGAAACGCTGTCCATAAAACTTGCGATGTCACTATAGTAAGAACAGGTGAGGATACTAATGGTACCCTCAAACCTCCTACTTGCACATGAAAGTAATTAGCACACCAGACAGGAATAAAGCGGGTATAAACAAAACAAACTGCCTGAATGGGGGGGACGAGTTCCTTTAGAACGAATCTTTGCGTACGTCAGAAAAAAATCGGATCTCGGAGGCGAATCACGAATCAACCAATGAAAGATGCGCGTATTTCGAAACGCTAATTTATAGTTGAAATAATAGAGTTTTAAAAGTTCATAATTTGTTCCCCTTGAAGATTTATGGGACTCTAAAAATCTATTTGTCGAGATCACTATTCCTATGATTTATTATTATCAAAGAAGAGGTTCACCCGAGAAGGGTGTTTTATTGTTGTTTAGACTATGGTGGAATTTCTGTACTCACTGTAGACTGAAGTTCAGACATGGTGGAATACAGTACAACTGTACTGTATTAACTAATCGATTTTTCCTTTTTTTGAACGCGTTTCTAGGAGGAATCGATTGCACATCTGGTTGCAAAAGTCACAGATTAATTTTTGTCTAGGTCCATGGATATTTTTTATTTACTATGATTTGAATTTATTTTTATTGATTTTTTTAAATTTATTTGTATTTGATTTTTTAAAACTTATTTTGATTTGAAGGAAGCTAAAAATTGTACTGAAAGAACCTCTTTCAAAGTAAGATTATTCTCTGAATGGCTTAAATGAATGTTTGTGTTGTCTTTTCATTTCTGGCTTTTTTTTTTCTCTCTCTCTCTCTCAACACAATGAGAAATTTCTTGAGGAAACCAAAAACATTATTAGACTTCCAAAAGGGATCTTGGACAATTTTGATAATTTTAAGGTGGCCAATCGTCGTCCTTTAGGGAGAACAGTCTTCCTTTTGTAGGTTCTGCCCTTCCTCGAAAAGTGTCCTCCCACCTCTCCTCCTTTTCAATCTTTTAAAACTATTCTGTTAATCTCTGTATTCACAGCTACTGTGCCGAACTGTGCAACATGTGTCGGTACAGTTCGGAAAGACGCGGTTAGTGATGCCAAATCGAGGGTATTCTCGCCGTTTCCAGTGGATTTTCAACTCGTACCGTGGGGAAAAAGTAGTTCCGCTGACAGGGGAGAATACGATGAAAAATAATTGAGATGGCGGAAAATATGCAGAATTTTAACTAACCATTAATTTTCTTGCAAAAAATATACTGTTCTAAAACTTTCAGTTTTCACAGAAATATTCTTGAAAATGATTGAAAACATTGATTGCTGTGAAACCTTGGTATCGGCACAATATCTATATCTATTGCATGTGCAGATATACTCTCAATATTCTTCACAATCATTGTCGTGGCTAATTTATTATTATTGGCGTTTTACAAACTATTCACTGCAACTGTTGTAAATATTTCTTCAACATGCATGATTTTGTTCCAAAATTTCCAATATGTTAGAAAATATTCAATCGATATTTACTAACTGGAAAATATACTCGTTTCATTAAATAATTAAAAGGGCTGTAAGAATAATTGGTGTATTTTTGTATGAATAAATAAAATGTTTTATTTATTTATGTTGTACTTTTTACTTTCTCGCACTTACTAATGTAAGAAAGGGAAAGTATTGTAATCGTGCGCTGGAACACAGTGAATTTTCAACCCCAAACCCCCTATTTACGGGCCATAGTAACGAAACCGTGGATAAATTCAGCTGATAAATTTAGAAAACAAATCCCTCTAAAACGTGGTGTAGACAGAACCCATGTTTTGTGCGTCCTTAACACCGAAAAATCGATTTGTAAAAGTCTGACTGTTTGTCCGTCTCAGTTCAACGCTAGCGCATAAACCTTTCAGCCGATTTTCTCCAAAATTAATATTACTCAAGCGTTCTGGCTAATGTCACGGCCACGAATTTCACACCGATACTTTCATTTTGGGGTACTTTACATTAAACCCTCCGGAGATTTAAAAAAAGGCTCCAAATTTGTTGATTAAATTTTGTTGAATAGTGAGAAGGAAATTTAAGGGAATGGTGCAGGTCTCATAGTGCAAAGGTCAAATGGTGCAAGTACCCCATTTTTTTTAATTGGAGGGGAAAAAAAAGGAAAAAAACCTACTACAAAATTGAAGATTGAGATTTTTGCCTCTGACAAAGTCTGATGTACTAAATTACCTGTTTAAAAAGGGCCATGCACAACTTTGTTTAAAAACAAGTAGTTTTTGCATAGTTTGCGCTTCAAATTTACATTTTTTCTCAATAACCGCTTCAATTTTTTTTTTTAACTTTCTCCATAAATGTAATAAGGAATGGTAAAATATATGGTGCTAGTTTCATTCTCAGGTATTGCTCGTTTTTTTTTGACCTCGTACAAAGTCTATTGTACAAATTTTGCTCTTTAAAAACCGTAATTGTCAATTTTTTGTAAAAGTCAGTAGTTAGCACGTAATTTATGTTTGAAATTAATAAAGTCAAGGCAGTCTAGAGATATGATTATTTTAGACTGCCTTGATGAAGCATGTATGGGCGTCTCGTCGTACATAACGATAATATTGTAATATTGCTAGAAAGCATGTGCTGTTATAGCACCACTAGTTTCTCGAATTATTTTGTCCTTTCTTAATTTAAAAAAAATGGTCACCTTGTGCTAGTTGTCACATTACACTTTAGAAAACACGATACCATCCTACTTTATAATATTTTTTTCTTACTTTTTTTCCTTTACCCTTAAGAATGCTCTAAAAGAATGTCGAGAAATCTAGTCTACAAAGAAATTTCTATGACACTTTAGAAGGGTTACATATGCCCCATAAAAGATGGGATTGTCCTCCTTTTTTCAAATATTGTCCCATTGTTTTGAAAAGCATTGCTGAGACACCAAAATGTCCTCTATTTTGCTTTATCCCTTTTTTCATATAACAATACAGGCTTTGTGCATCACACAATGTGTCCTGATACATTTAAAATAGAATATGCCAGGAGATCAGTATTTCCCAGCAAGTCATAAAATTTGAGTAGATAATTTTTCATTTGAAATTTTGAAAAATATGGTTTCATAAAATTTAGAAAAGTCCACTTTAGCTTGTAATATTCTGAAGACCAATGCAAGTTTCTTCTTTCTCTTGTGTGGGTTGTTTAGAAACAGTTGAATCAAAGTCATTGTTGTACACATAACTCTTTGACTTCATTTTCTTAAAAAGAAAAAGTGATTTGGAAGTCTTGTTAAATATTAATTAATAGGAAAATAGTATTGATATATTCAATATTCTTTCAGAGGTTTGCTGTGTGAAATGATGTATAATAGCAAGTTCATTCATTATTGTTACTAAAAAAATACTTTCATGGTTTTTATATTATTTAAATTAGAATACAAAAAGTAGTAGTATTTACTATATTTTAAGATTGAGTCTGATGAGGTTGCTTCAGAGATTATAATGAAATCAAACAATTGTACCAATTGCTCTTGATTTCATTTATTGTAACAAAATACCAATAATTGGTTTGTATTTTGATATCACACATCGATCAAGTTTAAACTTTTCTCTCAAACAAGTCCTTAGGAAACCAGTATTTTTCTGATGAGCGAGTGTAAAATAAAGAAGAAAATGAGTAATTACTTCAAAACTGTGCTTCTGCAATCTGTGCACACACACAAACTCTGATTAAAAATTCTTTATATGATTAACATTTTATTAGGTATTTGAAGAAAACTAACAAATAATAACTCACTTCAAAGGAAATTTGATTCTCTACAACTTCTGCTACGATAGTTATATAAATACTTCATCTAAAGACCTCTTCTTTTTCTATTATAAGTAAATGATTTTTCCAAGTCTAGAGATTATATATTAATATCATATGGAGATAAAACCTCAGTTGTTAGTAATGCTAAAGACTTACTTACACTAGATGAAAAATTACAAAATCAATGGATCTTGCTACTTATGAATAATTTTATCTTAAATTCTGAAAAAACAAATGTAATGTACTTTAACTTATCAAACACTAAGATCTCAAATAACTATACTCATGTTGTAAAAAATGAAACCATAAAAAAAATTGAATTCTATAAATTTTGTGGAATATTTATTGATGAAAGACTAACTTTCAGTAAACACATTAATGAAAATAATAAAATAAGCTACAATATCTCATTATCTTATTTTAGGAAATACAACAGATATACTTAGAACAATTAATTATGGAATAATACACCCGTAAATTGAATACAGAATAGAAATATGGGGAAGTACTACTGGGGGGGGGG